CGGCCACCTCCGCTATGATATGTGCATGGCCCCTGCGAAGTTATTGGGATGCCTCCTGTATTGAGATGCAGCAACCATTGTGAGCAAAACAGAGGTGCCCTGCCATCACACTGACGAGCTCTCACAGGAATCATACGCCAGCTCCTTTTCCAAGCTGGATGTCTTCATGGTCGGGGAGAGTGGCAAATTCGCTTTCGGGGGGGTCGCCAAGGGGTTCTCCCAAACAGTATGTGGCAGCCTGTAGCAGGTTTTAGGTGGCCACTACGACGCCCAAACAGCATCCCAACGTCTTCGCCTCCACTCGCTTCCACATCGTCCTGCCTCCAGGTGCGGGAATTGACGCTTGAGAGCTGGCAAGCCCGTATTCGCGCGGGCCAGGTCCATGGGTAACCCCGACATGGCTCAGAGGAGATTTTGGACACCGTCGACCTCGTTTCGCCCTTTTTATTACAAGCCTAGCGTTCCATGTGGCACCCGCCATCCATGTCAGCCCCACTAAAATTGGGCACAAACGGTCCTAGTTTGCAACATCTTGCTACAGATGTTGCTACAGATGTTGCTTCAGATGGGTCTGAGTTTTGGCTGTGTGCTGTTTCTGTGGTGCGCTTCTCCGTGCGCAGACCCCACCATGCGCGAACCGGTGTCAACTGCTCCATTCGACCGATCTTTCGCACCACATTCACGCTTACACAGGCTCAGTGGACTCTAAAGCAACTCCAGTATATAACCAGCTCAAATCACCTGCGGATGCATTTGGCCAGAGTCCTTTGAGCTCAACATGCAATCATGCCATGCCTAACACAAGGCAAATAGACTGTGCTTGGGATCAAGGCAAGGGTATGGATCTGGTCCTGGAGCCCTTTGGGATTGCATCAATTCATAGGAAGCAGGAAAAGGATACCGTATCGCCGTATCGTATCCAAGCATCTTCGAGGCGCCCTCATTCATGCCCATCAGATCATGTCTTGGAGTGCAGTTAGTTAGACACACAAATGATCACAAATGCAGTTGGGAACTGTTCTGCACCTCCCAAGAAATCTCATCCATCAGCTTCTCATGCTTGATGCGAGCATTTGCCTTTCAAACGGCTGCACTGAAGTTGCATGGTCACACACACACACATATATATATATAGACATATGTTATTTTGCGTAGACCTGTGTTGGCTTTTCAAAAGGAAACCAAGAACGAAAGGCCAAAAGGCTCTGCGACTCATCAGAGCCGAGCTGGACGTGTTGGGCCAGTCTGGTTGGGGGAACTGCACAAAACAAGCGCCCAACTCGGCTTCCTCGGCTTCCGCACAAAGGCCCACGCAGTCCGTGAGAGGTCCTGGGTCAATGTTCCGTTCGGCCATTGCCCAAAGGCTGCGCCATCGAAAAAAAGGTTCCAAACATGTCCAACACAAAAAATGTGGACACAAATGTCGATCACCTATCGACAGATCACCTATGTCGGGACGTATGTAGATCACTGGTCAAAAAGCAGTCGTTGGCACGATCCGAACTCTCCTGTGGGTTCATGTCCTTGACCTTCGCCACAACGGCACTCGCAATAGCCTCCAGGTGAGGAAGGCCATGTAACTGGCCATGTAAGTGGAACACTGGGACGGTGCCGGAGCCAAGTGAAACTGCGTGAAACTGCGTGAATCCGTGCCTGCATCCCGTTCTCGGCTTTGTCGCTGTTCATCTTGGAGATACCCCAGGCAGCATTACAAAGCTCTAAAGTCTTGAACCTGTGCACGACCAGATCTTCAGTTTTTTCAGATGTCTGCCACGGTGTGAAGCGCTGCCATCCAAAAAGGACCATCAAAGCTCGGAAGTGGTTGAAAGCAGCCTCTCAACCATTTCCTCCAGGCGAGCCAGGACAAGTTCAAGCAACTTCTCGTCTTTCACCTCGGGAAGGGCTGCGAGGGAGAAACAAAAACATCAAATTATGCCATCCCCAAGTGTACCACCCTGTCCCGCGCACAGTACTTGTTCTATCTTGTTCCACTCCCAATGCTAACCAAAGACCTGTAGCCTGTAGGCCAGTTCTTGTGAGCACGTCGTGAGCCCGTCGTGAGTTCTTCTAAGTCCTACACCTTGGTCGGGCTGAGGCCAGTGCTGCTAGCTTGCCATAAGAATAGAGCAAGTTCGCACAACCTGGCATTTCACAAGTGAAGACTGCATTTGGTCATGCATTTGGCCATGTTTCGCGGCAACAACATGCGCATCCTTCCACCCAAATGTCCATTGGTGCATCGCCCTGTCCGGCTTTCTTACTTCTGTCTCCGATCGCTGGGTGAAAGGCATTGAGGATCAAAGCGACCCATCTTCTTCTGAGCCTCTGCACTGATGACCTGCCGACAGTGCAGGTGGCGATTCGCTGCGACCAGTGACGACATCGCGTCGATTCGCCAACCGGAATTCGCGAAACCTCTCTTCGCGTCGCGGTCGGGCCACAGGAGCAAGACCCTACAAACCAGCTTTTCCCGCATCATGAGGTGCCCATATAACACCCATGGCTGAGCAAATCATGAGGACAAAAACACACAAAAAGAACTCGTTGGAAGCTTCTTCTTCGGTGTCCCGTTGCCTTGAAGAGATCTTGATCCTCCTGACTCACTGTGGCAAAAGCCTTGGCGACTGAAGAGTGCGGACTTCTCTCTCCAGATGGGAGAGAAGAGCCTTCAGCTCCTGAAAAGCTCACCTGGTTCTCTGAAAGCCTGGCAGGGGTGAACTCTGAGCTCTCCACCCAGGCTGTTATTGCCAGGTTTTGTGGCTCAAACCTCCGCATCGCTGGGACGAACGGACTTCAGGTCAGCCCCTGACACCGATAGGCGTAGTATAAAACGTCCTCGAGGATGAGGTTGGTTTCTTGGGCCTGTCCTATTGCCAGGGCCGATGATGATGGTTCAGTTGGCCGACATCTCTAGTGGCAACTCATTGTTTACCAACTGTTACTGTTACAGGTCATGGGACAGGCGTGTCTACGCCGTATACCGTATACTGTTAAACCAAGCCGGTGCTCAAACGTAGATCGTCTCTCATCACGCTCGGGTTCGGGCTCTGATGCTCGGCGCGCCACTTGCCGACTGATGGCCTACGAGGCAGAGGGCTGGCAGACCTCAGTCTGACCTTCTGCGGTCGAAGAACCCCAAATATGTGCCAACGTTTGCACAAAAAACTCAGAGAAATCACGGGTGATTCAATGATCAAGATATATCAAGATGATCAAGTCAACTTCTAGTTCCAACTTCTGCAAACATCTAAGTCACCCAGGGCCCCCCCCGCACGCAACTCTCGGCCACCCCCCCACAACTTGCGCACTGCTCCCCACACAACCTCCCTGCCCTTCCCGGGGGTGCTGGAGGTGGAAATGTACATCAAACACCGTATCACACAAGGGTATTTGCACACTACGGATCCATGTGCTTTACCGTTGTTGAGCAAGGTTACCACACGATGAATTAAACATCATTAAACCATCAAGAGAAGATTCAGTGACGAATTACCAATTTACTGGTCAAGGCTGAATGGTATTCAAGCCGGGTTTATTTTGAATGCATTCACGAACTCTTTGGTACAGGTTGTGACGCTGGGAAAAGGTCAGAGTTTCCGCAATCGATGGCCTAAATTGTGAGCAATTAAGCACGGGCTCAAATGGAACGCGAACATTTAACAACTCTCGGCCATAAAATCTGGATCGCGAGGCTCCATACAGCTCCTCTCTCCCGCCACTCAGCATGATGCTAAGCTAAGCCTTGGACCTTCAAGGCCTTCTGTCTCTGTGTCCCTGAAGTGCCTCGAAGAGGTCCTCATTGTGAACGGCCAGCTTTGCGTAGGCCCAAGCGACATTGGCCAGATCCTCGCTGTTGCCACAGCATTGCGGACTGGGATTCTGGGACATGTAAGGCATCGTTTTTGCAGTGCTTTTCTTTCCCTGCAGTGCCTGATACGACATGATGGCGCACCTGGTATGTCATGCTGGCCAGCCGCTGGCAAATATCCTGCCTTAGTTTTGTTACAACAAATGTAAATGCACCCCCTGCGGCACATCCAGTCATACAAAAAGGTCACAGTTACGCATGCCAACTCATGAAACTGGGTTGAGAGTAGATGGCGCAATTTCCAAAAGGCGGTTTATATGGACCCCCATATCAAAGACATCTTGGGGTTTGTGCCATCTACTCTCAATCCACTGTAAACTGTGTGCATCTCTGGTCATCAAGTCTTTCACGTCTTCGCAATCAACATAGTCGAGCAAATCAAAATGAACAGTGCCAGAGCCAAGAGACGCGAATTTCCCCAGTAGCATGTCATCGCGGTGGTCTGCGCTGGCCAAACACCAAGCTGCAACCTGGCGATGCTAGGGTGCAGGTTAACAGGTACAATGGACTGGCGTCCATGGCGCAAAAAAGCACCAAATGTGCCTGCGGGTTTTTGTCTGTTATAAATATATATATATATATAATTAATTGTTATATAACTGTTATATTGGTATCAAATATATATATATATATATATGCGCGTGTGTGTGTGTGTGTATACTGTATATACATATATCCGTCAAAGGTTCTTGCACACCCTGTGCTGTAGTTCATTGATGAAAAGCTAGGCCTGACCCCTGAAAAGGAATAATGCTGCAGAAAAAAAGAGGTGACAAGAAGGGGTAAGAAAACGTAAGGTCAGAGCCCCTTCAATGAGGTGGCTTCCAAGGAACGCGCCGAAGGTGCCCTGACCATGTGGTCCTTCAACGATCTCGGATGACCCGTCACGGTCTCGGACCCCACCGCCAGATCGCCCACGGCCAAGGCGGAATATCGGATCATGAGCTCCGATTTGAAGCTGGCCTGGCCGGCGCGCCGTAAGCCGTTGGATGATGAAACACACTGCGAATCTGGTGAACTGCATGGGTCTTAGAGTTGATTTAGGGGTTTGAATGTTTTAAGGCGGGCTGTTTGACTAATTTCTCAGCCCATGCAACTAACAAGTGGTACTGGAACAGGCTCCGACTGCACGTTTTCGTCGATTCACTTCGCTGCAAAACCGAGCCCTGCTAATGACGGTGACATTTGCTCTGCAAATTCACGAGCCGCTTACATCCTCCATGTTCCTGTCACTGCTGCAGCCCTCATGCAGCCTGGAAAATACCCCTCAGTCAAACAGGTTCTTTTGCTGAGGCTTGGCATCGTCAAAGAGAGGGTTGCGCCCAGCGGAGGCAGGAGTACCTCCAAACACGCTGGCCGGCTTTGGCGCGGCCGTGACTGCAGGCCGCGCAGCAGGTGTTGCTGACACGGTGGCGGTTGAGACCACCGGAGCCTTAGACACAGCTGGCACAGCAGGGCTTGGCTGTGCATATGCTGGCGTTGCCTTTGGCGCTGCAGGTTTGGCTGGGGGGAGCGGCTCCTCCTCCTCAGCCTCAAAAGCTATGGCAGCCAAGGTGGGGTCCCTGGTGAGGACAGCGCTGGCCTTCTGCAACACTTGCAGTTGGTTGTGCAAGGTGCGCCTTTCCTCCACTATGTGAGGTGGTTCACCCAACATCTCTGACAGCTTGTCAGGTTTGTTCAAGGCACTAAGGAGCTCAAACTGCAGCTTCTCCTGAACTGCCCTCACCAAATAGAAACCAATTGCCTTGGGCACAGAGTCCCGAACGCTTCTGACGGTTACCTCAAAGTAGGAGTCTAGCCGTTTGCGAATCTCTTGGACAAATGGCCCACTATATCTGGCCTGTCTTCTCTCCGAAGCTGTGTCCTTTTTGAACATGGTGCCAACCGTGGTCCTGACATTGTCATATGCTGCTCTGCTTCCATCCTTCACCTGATTGAGGGTTTTCTCTGCCATTCCTGGCGCAGGGTGGATGCTACGTGGATGCAATATCATGTGATCTATGTTCTTCAACGCAGCGAATTGCTGGAGGTGCTGTATTCCCTCGCCTTTTGTTCATTCACCTGACTCCGGACTCCCCTTGATCTTCAAACCTATTGGCCTGTTCATCCCGCCGACTGCATGATGCACA